GAGAAGGATGAAGAATGGATGGGGAGGAGAAGATGGATGAGGATGGATGAGATGGGGAGGAGAAGATGGATGAGGAGGACGGGGAAGAGGAGACGTAAGTGGATGAGGATGGGGAGGAGAACAAGGAGGATGGAGAAGGCATGGGAAGCAACAGTTGTGAAAGTAACCGTGCCATGCGCTATTCGTGCTCGGTTCACGATTGCTGCTGTTGCGGGCGACAGCACCTGAGAAGGAGGGAAGTAGGCCACCGAGGACAGCGCCATGCGCCACGTGACGCTGCAGCGCCCTGCGCTCTGTGATGCAACAGCGACGCACACTAAATGACAGGACGGCGCCACGCGCCATGTGGGCGCGCGCTCTGCCATATTCGACTCGCCGCCGCCCGTTTCAAGCATGGCCGACAAGGTGCCGCCGTGAGGTTTTGTGGGGACCCGCGTGACCTTCCACCCCGCAGGACGTCCAAGGCACCAACCAAAGTGGCGACAGTTGCGCCGTTCGCAGGCCCCCGAGGAGCCGCGAGGTCCCGCAGGGGCCTGCATGGTTACCCATTATGCTGGACTTCCACGGCGCCCGCGAAAGTAGAAACAGTTGCGCTGATCGCAGCCCCCCATGGAGCTGCGATGTCCCGCAGGAGTTTGCGTGACTACCCACCCCGCTGGACTTCCCAGGATCCTTCGAACGTGGCCACAAATATGCAGCCCGCAACCCCCCATGAAGCCGCGACCTCCTACAAAGGATCCCTTGACGACCCACCCCCATTGGACCTCCCAGGACTTTTTGAAATTGGCCCCCGTCGCGCAGTTCGCAGCACCGCAGGGAGCCACGAGTTCCCAAGCAGGTGCGCGCGATTACTTGTCCCTTGGACGCGCACGGAACCCGGGAAAATAACCACGGTTGCGCAATTTACCTGTGGGGTCCGCGAGGTTCCACACCAGTCTGCGTGACCACCCACCCCGATGGATATCCCAAGAGCTTACGGCATGGCGGCACCCTTCAAATAGGAAAATCATGACGAAGGGAGGGTGAAAAAAGGCAGGAGGAAGGAAAAGGAGGAGGAGGGGAGGGCAACGAGGAGGAGGAGGAGGAAGAGGAGGAGGAGGAGGAGGAGGAGGATGAGGAGGAGAAGGCGGACGAGGAGGACGAGGGGGGAAAATATTGGAGCAAGCGACGCCCCACCCAAAACCAGAACCCAACACAGGAGGACTGGGATCATTATGCCGCCGGACATCATCATATCATCAATATCCCCTTCCTTTCTTCCTCCTCCTCCTCCTCCCACTCCTCCTCCTCCTCCTCCTCCTCCCTCCTCCTCCTCCTCCTCCTCCTCCTCCTCCTCCTCCTGGCCCTCTTCCTCCTCCTCCTGGCCTTCCTCGTCCTCCTCCTCCTTCTCCTCCTCCTCCTTTTCCTCCTCCTTCTCCTGTCCTTTTCCCCATGTGTACGATGATGGTGCAGTTTGCCTTTTCCTCCTCCTCCTCCTCGTCCTCTTGTTCCTCCTGCTCCTCTTCCTCCTCGTTCTCCTCCTCCATCATCTTATCCTCCTCGTTCTCCTCCCCCTCCTCCACCTCCTCCTCCTCCTCCTCCTCCTCTTCCTCCTCTCCTCCTCCTCCTCCTCCTCCTCCTCCTCCTCCTCCTCCTCCTCCTCCTCCTCCTCCTCCTCCTCCTCCCCCTCTTCCCCAAAGAACACAAAGCGGGCCAGAGGATCGCCCGGGCGGCACGCGCCCCGAGGAGGCCCTCGCCGCTGGCGCGCCGGCGTTGCCGGCGCTGCCGGCGGCAGCGGCCGCGGACGAGGCGTGCCGTGCGTCTGCCCCGCGGCGCCTCGGGCAGAGGAGAGGATCTTCGTCGGCGTTCGGCTGTTTTCGGCGGCGTTCGTCGGTGGTGTTCGGCGGTTTTCCAGGCCCTCACAGCCTCCAGAGCACCCCGCACGAGGCCCAGAGGGCCCCAGGGGTTCCAAAGTGGAGCGAAACGCTGGGGGCACCTTGGGCCTGGGGCACCTGTAGCGACCCCCGAGTCTTCGTCGGATCTCGGCGGTCGTCCAGCTTCGGGATGCGTTCCAGCGGCTGCGCCTCGCCGAGAGCGTTCCGGGGGTGCCGAATTGTTCCAAACGGCAGCTTGAGGCCTGAGGTATGGCCCGCAAACCGGCGCCACGCGCAGAGGGTGGTGGGTGGAGGGGGAAGGGTTTCCCAGAAGCACCCCTGCTTCTTAAAAGGCGCGGGCCTTGTCCACAGATGTAGGGCCAGCGCATTCTTTGGAGCGACCTCCTCTAAGAAGCTCCCCCCCTACCCCATAATCCGCCTGTGCGAGCCGCCAGACCACGTTGCATCGGGCATGGCACGGCCACGGACCTTTTTTCTGGCAGTCTTTCGAAAGGCGGGGGTTTGAGCATGCCCAGCCCAGGACTCTGAGATCCGAGCTTTGCCAAATTTGTTCACACCCGGCGGTTTCGCTTGGTTTCGGGAATATCGCAGATCGATGTGGCTCGAACAGCGCCGCAGAAAAACGGGGTATACTTGGCTCCAGTCGCGATGTATCGCGACGCTGCGATTTTGTCCGCAATGTCGGCTTCCGAGGGGGCAGGAGGCGGTTCAGGTGACGGTGGTGCCGAAACCGTTTTTGCCGTGGGCACGGCCACGGTTCAGTGGACGATGCGCAGCGGCACGGCCATGGTCACGGAGACCCACGGCGCCGACGGCGAGGGCGAGGGCGGCGGCTGCGAGGGTGACGGCGGAGGCGGCGGCGGCGACCGTGCTGGCAGGGGCGGCGGCGACCGCGCACGCGAACACACGGGCGACGACGACGGCGGCCTTCGGCGGCGCCGCCGCTGCCGCTGCCGTCGCTGGAGTGGAGGGGTTGTCGTGGTGGCGGGTGTCGTGGTCGTGGTCGGCGGAGGGGTTGAAGCGCGCAGGGGGGGAGGGGGGGAGGGGACGGATGGAGGAGGGGGGGGGAGGGGGAGTATTGGGAGTTGGTGGGGGGTGATTGTGGAGGGGGGGTGGGGGGGGTGCGAGGGGGGGGGGGGGGCGGGGAGGGAGGAGGGAGGGAGGGAGGGATGGGGGAGGAGGGGGGGGAGGGGGGGGGGGAGGGAGGTGGGGGAGGGAGGGGTGGAGGGAGCGAGGAGGTGGGTGGGGGCGGGGGGGGCCGCGCATGGGAGGAGGCGGACGAGCGGCGATGGGTGCGCCATCATTGCGTTCAAGCATTCTTTGGCAGCGTTATCTCTTGGCCTGCGCCGAACTTGGCACGGCGCCATGCGATGCGTGCCAGGGCAAGGCCAGAGGAGGAGGAGGAGGAACGGATGGAAGAGGAGAAGTACCAGAGTAAATCCAAGACGAGTCAACGATGGTGCAATAATCCTTCCCTCCAAGTTCCTATGAGCATTTGCTTTCAGTGCGGGAAGTGTCCCGTTGGAAAACCACCGTTTGAGAAACCCCTCACCGTGCCAAAACATTACAATTCCCGGGACGTCACGTGTGACGTTGATGTTGCGTCCTGACGATCCTGAATCGTTTCAGAACGCGAATGCATGGATGTCAGCATAGCGATTCAGCGTGACTGCTGCGCCCTGACAGTCCTAAATCGTACCGGACTTCCATTCCTGAGACGTCAACCATGAGAATAAGTCAACTTGCTGGAAGTTGTTAAGACGAATAGGCGCGGCGTTACAGCGAGAGCCACACTTTGAAGAGGAACCGTCCTCCTTCCGTGATACCCTTGCAAGTCTTTAAAACGAATGTGCGCGGCGCTAAGGCGAGAGCCATGCAATGAACAGGAACCGCCCTCCATCGGTGAAACTCTTGCCAGCTTCCAAGACGAATGTGCACAGCGCTACGGCTAGAGCCACATTTGGAAAGCGACCCGCCCTCCATCCCTGAAGCCCCTGCATACTTTTACAACGAATGTGCGCGGCGCAAAGGCCAGAGCCACGCATTGAAAAGGAACCGCCCTCCTCCCATGAAACTCTCACGTGTTCGTTAAGACGAATGTGCGCGGCACTGAGGCGAGAGCCACATTTACAACAGGAGCCGCCCTCCATCCGTGAGATTCTTCAATTTATGTTAAGACGAATGTGCGCGGCGCAGAGGCGAGAGCCACATTTTGAAAGCCACACGCCCTCCGTCCGCGAAATTCTTGCAAGTTTTTAAGACGAATGTGCGCGGCGCTAAGGCGAGAGCCACATTTTGAAAAGGGGCCGACCTCCACCTGAGAAAGTATCGCAAATTCTAAGCTTGAGGATCATACATGGTGAGGAAGTCTCAGGCGAAACGACCGGTCCGCCCTACTGATATGTCTCAGGTCCGACAGGGCGGAGCTGTTTACAAGGACAGAGGATGAAAGCGCAGGAGGTAGGAGGTGGGAGGTGGAGGGTAGAGGAGGGTTGAGGGAGACAAATGGGAGGAGGGCGGAGGAGGGTTGAGGAGGGTGGAGGGTAGGAGGTAGGAGGTGGAGGGTGGAGGTGGGTGAGGGGTGGACGAGGGTGGAGAAGGGTGGAGGGCGGAGGAGGATTGAGGAGGGTAGAGGGAGGAGGGAGGAGGGAGGGAGATGTGGAGGGACAGAGGCTGGCGATGATGATCTTGGAGCCTCCTCCGGCACTCCTTGCTGCCCGGCTCCCGGGCAAGCTGCGCGGCAGGACCTGGAGTGCACGATCTGCTTCGAGGAGCTCTCGAACGTGGTGCGCCCCCTCCTCCTCCTCCTCCTCCTCCTCCGCCTCCTCCTCCTCCTCCTCCCCCTCCTACTCCTCCTCCTCCTCCTCCTCCTCCTCCTCCTCCTCCTCCTCATCATCATCATCATCCTTCTCCTCCTCCTGCTCTCTCCTTCTCCTCCTGCTCTCTCCTCCTCCTTCTCCTCCTCCTCCCCCTCCTCCTGCTCTCTGCTCCTCCTCCTCCTCCTCCTCCTCCTCCGGAGGGAAGTAGGAGAAGGAGAAGGAGGAAGGAGGTACAGGAGGAGGGGGGGGGAATGGAGATGGATGATGAGGAAGGGAGGCAGGGATGGGGGAGCAAGGAGAGAGAAGTGAGGCCCACCTGTTCCACGTCTCCTGATCCACCCGTCCCCTCCTCCCCGTCCACTTCCTCGTCGTGCTCGCTCTTGTTTCTCCTCTCTGACGTCTGCTCTGCTCCTCATCTTGATCTTATCCAAGAGGCTTCCGACATCCGTCCGACACCCAGAGGATGCAGCGCGGTCGCCAGGCCCACACGACAGATGGAGTCAGGTCGTCCGGCGTGGGTCCGAGAGCCGTGGTGTTGGTGTTGGTGTGTGTGTGGCGGGTGTACGGGTGTGTCTGTGCCTGTGCCTGTGTTTGCGTCTGCGTCTGTGTCTGCGTGGCTCGCCGCTCCAACCTAGGTTGTCTGCTGAATTGTGTGAAGAGAGCAATTGTATCACAATCTCTGGCGTCTTCAGTCATAGTGAGCATCTGGGTCCGTAATGTAGCCGCTTTCGTGGTCAAGTGTTGCATCTTGTGCGCGTGGATCATGGACGCGAGGCATTTAGAGGATGCTCGTTGGTGGTTCCATGGGAGTCCTCTCTGAATCCTCTTGGACGCATTGTGGTATACTCTTGGGGCCTTCCGGGAGCGTCTTGGGGAGGTGTTGGTTGGAACCTTCTGGCAGCGTCGTGTGGAGGCTTTTGGGGGCACGAGGGCCTTCTTGGGTGCGTGTTGGAAGAGGCTTCTTCGTGCGTCCGCCTCATCCTTACCCTCGTCTTAATTACTCTATTCCGCCGCATCTTCGTCCTCCACCTCTCTCTTCGGCGTGGTGCTCCTCCTCCATCCTGCTCTCTCGCACTGCGCCTGCTGCTCCTTCTCTCGCTTTCTCCTCGCAACCGTCCTTCTCCTTTCCACGCCCTTCCTACTGCAGTCGGAATAGGGCCGAGGGATCTCGGGTCAAGAAAATGACGCCGTTCCCCGAACGTCCAATGAGATACCTGGACGAATCGCATGCCAAGGTGGAGGGCCCACTGACTTACGAAGAGCATGACGGCACCTCTCCAAAGCTACGAGGCTTGCACTTGACCATCGTGCCTGCTGTACGTACCCCTCCCTCTACCGATAATCTTCATAGTCCTTCTCCTCCTCCTCCTCCTCCTCCGCCTCCTCCTCCTCCTCCTCCTCCCCCTCCTACTCCTACTCCTTCTCCTCCTTCTCCTCCTTCTCCTCCTTCTCCTCCTCCTCCTGCTCCTCTCCTCCTCCTCCTCCTCCTCCTCCTCCTCCTCCTCCTCCTCCTCCTCCTCCTCCTCCTCCTCCTCCTCTCCTCTCCTCCCCCCTGCTCCTTTTCCCTCCTGCTCTCTCCTCCTTTTCTCCCCCTGCTCCTGCTCCTCCCCCTGCTCCTCCTGCTCATTGCGCACCAGGTGTGGGCCCGCCAATTTTCCAAGGCGGGTTGTTTGAGACGCTTCCAACGATTGACGAGGGAGGAGAGGGAGGACGAGAAGGGCTATATCTAATGGCATTCGGCCCATCCCGCCACTGTGCCTGGGTTGTGGTTGTGTGTATCAAGCTTATTGGATGTTCGTTTGGATCTCGTGGGAGGCCTCTCGGGGGCCTCTTGGAGGCAGTTGTGATGCCTCTTGGGGGGCGTGCTGGAGCCTCTTGGGGCCTCTTTTGGGCCTCTTGGGGGCCGCTGGGGGCCTCTTGGGGGCCTCTTAGGGCCTCGTGGTGGCCTCTTGGGATCTCTGGGGGGCCTCTTGAAGCGGAAGGCCCGGATGTTGCTGTTTGTGTTCCCTCTCTTGGGCCCCTCTGGGCCGTTTAGGGTCGCCTTGGGTCGCTCTTGGGCCGTCTTGGGGCCCTCTTCCCGCCTCTCGGGCCGTCTGGGGGCGGTCTTGGAGGCCTCTTGGGCCGTCTTGGAGCGTCGAGAAGCCGAGCACGCGAGGACACTTGAAACCTTCAACCACCGAAGGACAATCGATGATTTTGGCCTCGTGTGGCCTTCTCTCGGGAGGCCTTGGGGCGTTTTGAAGGCCTTCTGGGCCGTCTGGAGGCCACCTTGCGCGTCTCGGGGGGGGGGTCTTTAGGCAACTCGGGGCCCTCTTGGACCTTCCTGGGAACCTTTCGGGCCCTCTTGGCCCGTCTTCGGGCCCTCTTAGGCCCCACAAAGTCAAACTACACGATGCGCCAGTTGGAACGCCGGGAGCCCCGCCAGATTTGGCAATATGGGGTCCTGGCTCATAAGGGATCCTCCCCAGGACTGATGACTGAGGCTCAGAGGATTGGGCAAAGGACCTGAGGACACGCCCCCCTCCATGCCCAGAGGCCCTGGCATCGCTTGGACGTGTGTATCTTTTTTTTTTCTCGGCGAGGACCCTTGAGGACCATCCTGGACCATGGAGCAGAACAAACACGCACGAAACCGACACATGCACGGGAAGTGGACGTCCGAGCGACGGCAGGAGGCCCAGTGGCGGCTCCAGGGAGCAGGGGGGGCGGGCAGGAGCAGGAGGGGCCCGCAGCAGGAGCCCGAGGAGCCGGAGGCGGGAGGCGGGCCCCCCCCCTTGCTCTGGGCGCGTGGGGTTCCGGGTGTCTGC